AACGCCCCCACGGCTGAAAAAGCGAGCATGTTTTGGTGTGACGGGAATTCGAACCCGCGACCCACAGATTGCGAGTCGAGCACCCTAACCATAAGGCCATGCCGAGCCTTGTGTGGAATATTAAAATACACAATGACAACAACGTTTGGATATTAAAATACACAGTGACAACAAGGTTTTGATATTTTATTAAGCCTTCTATATGCAAGATGTATTCTTACCATCTCAAGAGGTAAATCCAAAGCTGAAAAAGTTTTCACACCAAATAAGTTACAAAGTTACTTAAACACTCTCATTAATTGCTCGCCCAGTGAACAAATAGCAAAAACTTCGTTCATCTCAGAATTTATGTAGAATATTATCTAATTCCAATTCAGTGTTTTAGTACAAAAGATTGCACTCGCGGTTTTTTTATTCCTCATCCATCCATGTTATCAAGCAATTATTGTACGGGACAACTTACAATCACGTTAGCTCAGCTAACATAACTATTCGCTAACTTACATTTGACATACCAAACATATTCAATATATTTATGTAGAATAACTTTGTTATTATGAAATCTGAGATTATCCACATAGAAATGTGTTGCAGACAAATTATCTTAATAATAAGGTTCAAGTCCTGGCACTTTCTATCAACTATCGTAAACCAAGATAAAAAGTCGACAGGCTTTAAAAGTTGAATTATATATAGCAGTTATATAACTCACAAACAATTTTATCAAAATTACAGGGACAAGTTAGGTCCAACATAGGACCACGACTTTAGGAGAGAAATATGAATGTGTAAAGAATTACGTAGACATTAAGAAATAAAAACCCTAATTATAATTGCAAGGCTTAAGTGTTATTAATTGATTACACAATCCTACTCCGATACAACTCGTTGATTTACTTTTTGTAGCACTGCGAAAGCAAAAACACTTGGGTGTTTTAGCCCCACCCCCCAAGTGGCACAGCAGTATGTCTGAAGGCTTATATTGCTAAAAAACGGGTTTCAATGTCCGTGATGGGCACACCACATATAACCTATTGTGTATCTTTGTGCTTAACAATAACAAGTATTATGAGTTTTCTTGACAATTCCTTTATATGTAAATTAAGATCATTTCAAATATATGACATTAAGGCTATAATATTTTCAAATATAACACATGTCAACCAAGATTGCTAGAAATTACGATGTGATACCCCTACACGCATGCTCACACATTTATGTATGTGTGTTCTATACTGTTTGAGGCTATTCTTAAGGAAAGTTGGCAGAATCGACCTATCATAGGCGGAACCCAGTGCTCTTCATCGTGTTTCAACTATCTGTTCAAGCTAATGAGCGAACACTCTCATATTTTGATACTACAAAGTTCCTTTAGTTTCAATCACTGTATAATTCTTAATTATACTTTTTAAAACACGACCTCGAGAGTATGTCTTTATTTTCATCAATGAATACAAACGCACACACACACACATATACACAATTTATTACATTAAAAGTTTTGTCTGTACAAGTAAACCATCCATAATTTCACAAGAATAATGGTTTGTTTTTTAAACGCAAAACTACACAGCGGGTTATTTTGCGTTGTATCCACCGCAGGTAATCGAACCTCAAATTTTCTACGTGATAAACGAGAAAGATGGAATAATAGCCACGAGAGTTTGCAACTCTTACTATTATATGTAAATCAAGTAGTGGATGTGAAACATTCAGTACAAAACGTAAAAAATATCAAACTTAAAAGATGAAAAACAAATCAATAGAATGGGGATTTCTTGAGTACTATATGAAGCAGAAAAACTGTGAAATAAGCAATATTCAAAACAACGTTCGGCTGTTTTTCAAGCCATTTTGACCTAACCATAGCTATATACTGTTTTATTGAATACACACGCACATTCTTACATAATAAACCATTGTACAAGATAAAAGGAAACAATCTTTAATGTTTTTTTGCACTCAGCCGTTGAGTATCTAGTATTTGAACAACAACAAAAAAATGCCTTCTATGTTAACAACTCTTTCGTAAAGCTACATTCCTAGCGAGACCAGACAGGCGGTATTATACAAGTGTCGTTTGACAGCTACAATAAAACGTGTGGAACAAAAGTAAGATAACCATAAAATAGAATACACATCCATTTTCGTTGCGGATCTGGTCTCGACATGTTTTGTAGGCATGTTGTCCCCGTCCCTTCCCCTAGCAAAACGTCAGCCAAGCCTAATCCCATTTCATATTTTACAGCTACAGGTTTAACTGTAAACTCTATTCAAGAGTTATATTACTTATTAAGATTCATCGTGCATAGAAGGGATAACGTGAGTCGTTAGGATTCAATAATCAACATCGTTCGTACAAAATAAGATATAATAAAAGGTCGTAAATTGAATATAAAAACGACTTTTTAAAGTTTACAAGGAAAGATGTAGCTAAGAAATGCATATTTTCATTTGAGCATGCAGCAGTCAGTACCGGGACAAGAAATGTGTGCAAAGAGTGCACTGCATCAAGGCCTAAAAGTTTCTATCGGTAGATTCGGTAGGTAAATTTGCAAACAATTTAATTTTTTTATAAAGTCATACTAAGTAATATATGATGATAAAATATGCGGGGAGGTCTGTCAGGTCTATATATATATAACTGTTTGTTGATAATTGATCTATAAGTTAAAACCATCGTATGTTTTCCCTTTCCTAAGAATGGTGGTAGTTATCAGTTGGTTGTTTTACAGAAGGGACTTAAATTTCTTCGATGTTCCTGTAAAAAATCAGGAATGATTTCCGTAGTAAATAAAAGACTGAACCAAGAATGACTTCTGTTAGTTGAAGAAGTCATTGCTAAATAAATTGACTTTAATAATGTGATATCAAATTTTGCAAATACTGCTTTTAGAAAGGATCTTTATTATAAAAAAAATAAATAAATACTTTCATTATTCGTATTTTTAATGTATTATAGAATGCCGTTTTTGGATCAAGTATGCACTAATTCTTTTAATATTGTTGCGTATCTGCTTGTTTGTTAATTTCCCGTAGAAATTCTTTCCGAGAAACTTCAGCGATACAAGTCCTTTCTTAACTAAAACTAGTTTATTCTTTCTCGATACAACTTTGCAATACACAGAAGTTGCACAGTCAATACGTTTGCAATCTCGATAACAAAACACATACCTTATATTACCGCTCGCTTGACTCAATTATCTGTCTCTATTCTCTATATCTATCTATCTGCAACTATTTGCCGGGCTTATATACTAAAATAGAGGACGCGTGGAAAAGACCAAAGCTGTCAGAGCTGTCACGTTACTTCCGCTGTCGTAACAATATGTTGTCTTTTTTTATATTTCGTATAAAACTGAATTAAGGTTTAAGAGGCCCCCGTTATGAATACTTGCACCAGGGCCACAGAAAGCCTGTTGCTGGGCCTGGCAGCAGTGATTGGCAATAGAAATTAAATGTGTTCACTATAAATGTATGCACGTATTGGTAAAGGTTAGATATACAAAACTGCTATCTTAGGGATGGTGATAGAGATGATAAATTTACATATGTAAGTGATATAAATAAGTTTAGGGCTAATCTACAATTTTTATTTGGGCGAAGGGGGACTACTTGATGGGGTTTGGGGAATGCTTTCTCGGTAAGCCATATAAACTGGCCAATTCCAATAACTGGCTAAGACCACCCTATCCCCCCTCTCCTCCCTGGATTAAACTTTGTTGTTCAAACAACAAAATGCTGACAGTGTATTGTACATCTTGCATCTTACTGTTGATGGAAACTGTCAGAAATATTTTATTAAATATAGGAAACGTTTAGTTGTTAAGTTGAGCTACTTCTGAAGTAAGAAACGTGATTCTAATAACAAGGTTTACGAGACAAATTATAACTTTTTCACTGCCTTTTGGTACTCACTTAG